TTCAAACCCACCAGCCACTCCTCAGAAGGAAGGTTGGGCAATCTACTTCTGTAGTGATACTGCCTCGACAGCCCAAGGAGGGGTCGCTATGAGTCGGGGCTTACTCGATGGCACATAACAACAACAACATGGAGCAGTTCTATAGATGATAAGTTGGAATCACCTCAGTGGCAGTGGGTTTGGTTTTGGTTTAGTATTTGTTTAGAAACAGACTGGACAGTATTAAAGCCCTTCCAGACCTTTACCCGTTTGTCTGCAATGCTCCAGGAGTCTGGTTTCACAAATCATAGGTGATATGTTTAAGTATCCTCCTATAAAATTTAGTGAAACTAAACTCATTAAATTTACTGAGAGCCATCATATGGTTTTAGCTGTGAAATATGAGTCACTTATGTTCCTTTACTTTGTAAATACATAGGTTTGGCCACCTATTGCATACCTGCATGAAGGTAATGATGCCTTAAATACATATATCATAACATTAGAAAGGTGACATTAAGAGATCACATTTTCCATTCAGAGTTTCTTCATCCTATCTCATTAAAAATCATGGATTATTCAAAATGAACTAGAAAATATAACTTATTTGGTAAATGTAACAGGAAAAATATTAGAAATGTTAACTATGGCTGACTATTCCTGTAGTGGAAATATTTTAAATATAAGAAAATCCTGTTTATCCTGAATTGGGAAATAGAGCATTCTGGTTAATTGAATACTGCAAATAGCTCAGAATTCTCTACATTTATTACCAATTTAACAAAATTGCTAATTAACTTGATAATTATGTTCTTAGCATTTTTTTATGGTTCAAAAGGTACTTTATGGGCTTTGGTACTCTTCATAAACATCCATTATTATAATATTACAGAATTATGGAAAAATTCAAGATTGAATTTTCTTTTTATTCAGATTCAGGCTAAAGGAGACTCTGTAGTCAATAAATATATTAACAGCAATATTTTCTGTTTTCAATCAAAGAAAATGTAATTACAACATTTTAAAGTAGAGTAGCAGAGAAATAATGATGAAGACAGCAAGAAATAGGCTTTAGACATTGAGGTTAAAAAGGTTGGACCTTATTATAAGCGCACCACACCTTGTACCCGAAAACAGAATTAAAATCAATTCAACAATTACGTATTGAGTGTCTGTTGTGTACTAAGGAGCATAAAAAAAGCAGAAGAGTAAGAACTTGTTCTACTTTACATGTGTATCCTGAGCACCTAGCTAAAAGTACCTAACACATATAGTAAGTAGATGCTCATTGTTACATGACAGAATGTGTGCTTAAAATGGCTTTTAGTCACCTAACCCCGTTTTTGCTATTTGTTTGTTGGTTGTCATTAATTGTATAATTCAGTAGGCCAATGCATTAGAATGTGAGTTAGGGTATCAGTGTTTTAATCCTGTGTACATTGTTTTTTGGGTAATGATTTTATTTAAATATAATCTACATGCCATACAATTTACCAATTTTAAGTATATAATCTAGTGGTTTTTGATATACTCACAGTTGTTCAACCATCACTTCAATCAGCTTTACAGTTTCATCACCCCAAAAAGAAACCCTGTACTCATTAACAGCTCCTCCCCTTCCCCCTGCAAGCTACTCTCCTCTTCCTACTTCTGTCTCTATACCCATCTACTTCCATAGAGTTGATTCTGACTCATAGCAACCCTATGGGACAGAATACTTCTGTTCCACAGGTTTCCAAGGCTGTAAATCTTCATGGAAACAGACTGCCTCATCTTTCTCCTGCAGAGTGGTTGGTGGATTTGAACTACTGAACTTATGGTTAGCAGCCAAGTGCCTTAACCACTCTCCCACTAGAACTCCATTCTCTATAGATTTACCTATTTTGGATATTTCATGATCTTATCTAGTGTTGACTTATTATGTAATTTATCAAGTTGATTTTTCTATTTGAAAGATAAAATAAATTTGTTATCTTTTTATTTAATAGGGATAATATAGGGGTGAATATTATTATAAGCACATTTATAAAGAAGAGAAAGAATAGAAATCCAAGGGAACACATTTGGAATTAAATTTTACTAATAATCAAAATAATTTTAGAATCCAATTTGTCTAAAGTTGAAAAGTCATCATTAAATAGCATATGTACTTATGAGAGTATGTGGATGCAGATTTACTAGTTTGTATACAAAACTGTGATTTACACTAATATATAATCATTGCTTTGTTGGTAATTGGCTACATATTGTAGCAGTAGGCAAGCATATTGTGCTTTAGGATGTGAATCAAATTTATGTCTTATATTTAGAAAATGAAGAAATTGAAAAGCCAAGACTTCTGTGGGCCCTTTACTTCAATATGAGAGATTCTTCAGACATCAGCAGGAACTCTTATAATGATTTATCATCCAACGTTTATGTCTGCTCCGGCCCAGACTGTGGTTTAGGAAATGATAATGCAGTCAAACAGGTAAGGCAATCGGTGTCTCTCAGTTTTCTAAAAGTGGGTGTGGTAGGGAAAGTGAATTGTTTTTCCTCTGAGAGGTGAGAAAAGAGATTAGAAAGGCATCTCTCTCATTTAATACCATCTTTGCAATTTGCCCTTAAACTTTTTTTGTATGAACTATTGTTGTTGTTGTTGTTATGTGCCGTCAAGTCGGCCCGACTCATAGCGACCCCTCCTTGGGTTTCCGAGGCAGTATCACTACGGAAGTAGGATTGCCCAACCTTCCTTCCGAGGAGTGGCTGGTGGGTTTGAACCGCCAGCCGTCTGGTTAGCAGGCAAGTGACTTAGCCACTATGCTACCAGAGAACTATTAAGCTACTTTAAATATAGTATGAAATATTTTCACTTCCTTGAATATGATGATGAATTACAAGAGAATATTTATGAGTTCCATTTTGAGAAAGAGGATGGAAAGTTAGAAATACATACTCATAAAAATGACTTTGTGTTGCCAGTGTTCTAAAGAAACATTGCTTCTGATTTTAACTGTTGGCCTATCAGTGTATTATTTTGAAATGTTGTTGTTATGTGCCATCGAGTCAGACCCGACTCATAGTGACCCCTCCTTGGGTTTCCAAGGCAGTACCACTACAGAAGTAGATTGCCCAGTCTTCCTTCTGAGGAGTGGCTGGTGGGTTTGAACCACCAGCCTTCTGGTTAGCAGTCAAGTGCTTTAAGCACTAAGCTACCAGAGCTCCTTATTTTGAAATACATACTTTTTTCCCCTGATAATCTGAATAATTTCAAGAAGGAGTTAACTTGTCAGGCATACAAAATAAAATGTTATGATGTTCTTAATGTGTTTTTTGAATCTTGGAAAAGAACATACAACTTTTCACGATTAAGATGATTCCATTAATGCTTTGACACAAAGCAGTGTCCCAAGAAATACTATGATAGTTGCTGAGGAGTGTGATAAATAGAGGCAGAATTTTCTGACAGCACTCCTGGGGAGGGTTGTGAAGAGATACAGGGCAGGCTGACACAGCTGCCAAAAGTGAATATTATTCCATTAAGCTAAAGATTCACATGCATATGCAAATACATATCTCTGTACTTGCCAGGAAAGAAAAATGCAGAGAATACCATTTTTTTTGAGGCACAATTGTAAACTTTTCACAGGTAGAGTTGGCACATCTGTGTATGAAATCAGTAATTTAACATTGTTCTAAGACCACACAGATAGAAGTTTTGTTCCCACTAGTGGTGGGATTCTCAAAGCAGAAAGTGGCCTCTTTCAGCCTTTAATTTTTAGTTTTAATAGCAAGATTATAATTATGACCCTGACCCATACATCTAGGAGTTCTGGTGGCATAGTGCCTACGTCATTTGACTGCTAACCAGAAAGCTGGCAGTTCAAACCCATCAGTCACTCTTCGGAAGGAAGGTTGGACAATCTACTTCCGTAGTGATACTGCCTTGGAAACCCAAGGAGAGGTCGCTGTGAGTCAGATCCAACTTGACAGCAGTGTGTTGCGTTGCATTTTTGTGACCTATGCATCTACAGGTTTTTCCAAAAGTCTTTATGTTTCATCTTCAGAGTCTAATGGTAATCCTAGATATTCATGTTCAGCCAGTGATACCAAACAAAAGCAGGGAATCATGTCTTTTATCCCTTACTCATTTTATTAGTTTAACAGAAAGCTCAAGTAGTTCAGGATCTGCCTTTACGGTTTAAAATGACCCAGTCATTTTTACTTTGATGTTCTAATTTCTTTGCAAACAGAAATTGTCAGCCATTTTTAGCCAGGTAACTTAGGTAATTTTTTTTTTCCTAAATGAACTTTAATTTTTTAAAACAAAAATGGGAGGGCTTTTAATTAAGAGCTTATAATACAAATGCTAATATGATCTAAATGGCAAGGTAGAATATGATCATTTTGTCATGAGGTAATTTGATTTCCAAGAAAAGACTCCAAGAGTAAAGTATTATCACAGTAGGAAATAATATAATTCTAGTGTTGGTACTAATTATTATATGCTATTAAATGTAAAGAAGTCCCGTGGTGGTGCAAACAGTTAAGTGTTCAAGTACTAGCCATAAGGTTGGTGGTTCAAACCCACCCAGAGCCACTGTGGAAGAAAGGTCTGACAATCTGCTTCCAAATGGTCACACCCTTGAAAACTATGGGGTTCCACTCTGCAGAAATGAGGTCACCATGACTCAGAGCCAACTTGATGACAACTAACAATGACATTAAATATAAGCTGTTTTTAATTTGTAATTTAGCTTTTAGCCTCTTATGTCAGTTTGGTGGAAAATGTTATAACATCTACTATAAAGAACACATCATATTTATAAATAGCCAGTTTGTTCACATAAACTGAGTTCTAATTCCAGTTTTGGTAATTAAATTGTGTGTCAGCTTGGCTGGGCCTGGTTTTGAGTGGCTGGGCAGCTGAATGTAGTTATTCCCCATGATGAGATTGGTAATCAACACCATGGTGGAATCTACTGGAGCTGAGTAGCTGCTGTATGGCTGTGATCTGCTTCAAGTATATAAGAAGAAGATTTGAAAAAGGTCTCTGCAGCTTTTGGCATGGTTGGACCCTGCATATAACCAAGTCTTCATTCAGCAGCCTGCCATGTTTCCTGCTGGGGACTGTCTCTGGACTTGAACTAGTAGCCTGCCATGTTGTTTGGTAATCTTAGGACTGTGCCATTTTATTTGTTGACCTTGGTTCATCACCCTCAGCAGCCAGCAGCTGCCTGAGTGAAGAGATGCCTCCCACCCCAGTGTGCTGGGAGCAAGAGACAGAGCTGAAGCCCCAGGTTAAGGGGCCTTCACCCAGCCTCTAGAGCTGGCACTTTGAACTCAGACTTCTAGCCTCCTGAACTGGAAGAGAATAAACTCCTGTTTGTTGAAACCACACACTTTATAGCATTGTAGAATTTAAACAATACAGTATATTTTTAGATCTATTTGTTTTTGAGAAAACCTAATTTCATTGAAAATATGCAAAGAAGTCAGTAATAATTTCTTTTGGCATTCACTCTAAGTAATAATTTAGGAAGTAGTTCACTTTGCCCATGGTTTAGAAATTAGAAGTAAGTTTTATGAGTTTTTAAAGCACCTCAGTTGATAACTGACACTTTTATATTTTAGGAGGAGTTATGTCTTTGACTCTAAAGTATGTCTCTTGTAGACAGCATATTAATGGGTTTTGTTTTCTTATCCAATCTGCAGCTCTCTGTCTTTTGAGTGGTTCACTTAATCCATTAATCTTCAGTGTAATTATCGACAAGTATGAATTGGTTGCTGTCATTTTGTTATGTGTTTTTTCATGGTGTCCCTGATTTCTTCCATATTACTTTCTGTACTGAGCTCATTATGTTTATGAATCATGATATCATTTCCTTTATTGCTATTGTTTTAGTATTTGCTGAATATTTCTGCTTGTCCTCTTCTTTATTGTGATGTGAAGGTTTATCATTTTTCTTTGAGGTTACCCTGTGATTTATAATTTTCTCTGTGAGTTTAGAATAGTCCATTCTATCTTACAACTCTCTTGGCTTCCTCACCATTTAGAAGTTCTGTAACTACACAGAATTTTCCCTCTTTTTGTTTGTAGTTGTCCTCATTTGCCAGTTGATGTCTCTGGTTCCCTGCTTATAATCTTGTAGGCTTATTTTACTTTGGATATGTCCATAGCTGTGGTTTCTGGATTATGTCATGTTGTGTATTAGTGGTCGGTTGTTTGCTATTTTTGGTTCTCTGTTCAAAAGACTCCCTTTAGTATCTCTTGTAAGGTTGGTCTGGTTTGAACAAATTCCTTTAGTTTCTGCTTATCTGGAAATCTCCTAATTTCACCAATATATTTGAGGAACAATTTTGCTGGTTATATTATTCTTGGTTGAAAAATTTTCTCTTTCAGGGTTTTATATATAGCATCCCATTGCCTTCTTGCTTGCATGGTTTCTTCTGAGAAATCAGAGTTTATTCTTACTGGCTGTCCATTGTAGG